TTTGTATTAAAACAATTTCTAAAATTTTCATTGATAAAAGAAGATCTTTATTAAAAATAAGATTTTTAATTAATTTCAGCGTATTATTTCTGCGTCTTCCTTATTAAATTATCGAGAAAATGTATTCTCTGTAGGAGTATGGCTGTTCGGTGCAGACGGTGGACCTGGTGGCGGACTGCCCGTTGCAGATCGTGACGGGTGACTCGAGATCGCCATCACTCTCGAGAGCGCCGACACCCTCCCCGACGTCCATCGCGTCGTCGACGAGCATGGGGCAACGCTCGAGTGCCTTGTTACGCCCCAGAATCTCGTTAACTTGGGTCTTGCGTGGCCAACAACAATCTAACTTGGGTCCTGGACCCAATAACTATTCGACTATTAACGGTAGTGGAGGTGAAAAATCATTTTTTTTTTCTATTATTTGTCATTTTTATTTTGAGACTAATATTGATAATATCTATAATGATATCGATAGTCATGTTAATAAGAAACTTGCTTCAATTTATTATTATTATTTTTAACATAGAAATATTACGATATTGTACTATCTCGTTATATATTATATTATTAGTAAACTGTGAAATTATGCAAAATGTTTCTTTGAAAGGTACAAATAATGATCGAGACACTTTTTCGCGGGGCAGCAAGAGATCTTCGAGAAGAAGCGTTAAAAGTATCAAGGACAAAGACGCTGCTAGCAAGGAAAATATCGAGAACAAGGAGAGTATCGAGAAACGCGAGAAAATTTTGCACAGGCTTCAAAAAATCGAAAGAATCGAGAAGGTAATCTTTAATCTTTTTTTTTTGTAATACGGGATATAAATTTTCTTTTAAATAAACTCTCCCATTATCCTAAGTTTATTATTTTTGAATTTAACAAATACCTTTTACTGTTTCAAACATTTCTGTTGAAGACTGTTGACAAAGAAACGATCGGTGAAAAGCAGTTGGATAGTCCTCTCGAGAGGCACTTTAACAAAGAATTTATCGGTCTCAAAAATACGAAAGAAAAGGAGAAAGTAAAAAGAGCCGTATCCGAGCCTTCCCTAGTATCTCGTGAATCAACATCGACACCCAATGGACGAGAGAAGCACCGACATAGGCGGACCAAACGTTCGCACAAACCTAGACTACCCAATAGATTCGGCTATGAGATCGCCGATCTCGACGCGTTCCTAACTAAGGTGCTTCTTATCTTTTATTTTTTATTTCCTCTATAATTTTTTCCTTCTATAACTTTTTTATTCTTTATAGAATTAATATCTTGTGTTTATACCTATAGTATAATTTACAATTGCAATCGTAGGCATCTATAGAAAGACCAGCGAACATCCCAGTTGTCCTGTCTTTTCCATCGGTATTATATCAGACTCAAGGCGGTATACAGGATGAAATGGCTCTTCCTCTTGGTACAGTTGTGAATGCCGTCTTCAAAAATCAAACCTGGCTATACGTGCAAACACCTCACGGACAGGAGGGTTACGTCGGCTACGCTGCCTGTTTACCCTTAGGGATCTTACCGCAACCTACACGAGGACCATGCTGGGAAGATTCCACTGATGTTTTCCCTCGGCCATTAGGTATAAATGGAATATTCTTATAAAACTATAAAATAAGTCCTGTAATGTGTTGAGAAATAAAGTAATTATAATAATTCAAAAAAAAAAAATTTTATCAATAATATAATTTCTTTAGATATAAATAAATTAATTCTGATACATTTCAATTATAATTTAATAAAATCTTTAATTAAATCTTTCCTGCTCGTATCTCTATTAAGCAAATGTTTAACTCGTCTTTGCTATCCAATTAATTTAATTTTGTTCTATTCGTAATTTTCTTTCAAATAGACATAAAATATTTTTTCATCAAGCTCTTAACTTTTTAACTGTTTGTTTTCTTTAGGAAATATGACAGACATGGAGAAGCTGCGTGATACTAGATCCGAATGCGGGGCAAGTCGTGGACGCAGCGGCAGAATGAGGCGAGGACCAAGAGACGCAGTATCGGCATGTGGTGAACGGAGTGTCGATCGGTTGTACCTAAGAGCAGCAGCAAACGCGCGCACCAAAGGCTCGCGGTACACACTCCTGGTGATTAGAAATGATTATGAGGCGCATGCCGCAAACGCTTTGACGGTCTCGAAAGGCGATGTGGTCGCTTTGCTGAGCGATCATACGAACGATTGGTTCTGGGTGCGTTCCAGGGATGGCAGAGAAGGATTTATCCCCGCGGTCATCGCCGGTCACGGTTTTCTCTGATCTCTTTTAATCAAAGGGATGTTTATTTAATGTTAACAAACCCTTTACGAAATTTGTGAAGAAATCATATCGCACTCTCGAAGCAATCTTCTTATAAATACTGCCAAATTTACTTGAGTAGAATCGGATTAATCTATTAACAGTTAATTTTGTAATTATGATATATAAAGAATTTTTGTTTTATTTTTTAAATAATTGTATTATAAATAAAATAATTCTTTATGTATAGTTTCACAAAT